TGTGGCTGTGAAAGCCCTTCTAACAAATTTACCAGAAGTAATAAAATCCTTGAAAGAAATTAATTATCTTTCAAAATACTACATTACTATTTCAAAACTAATTATCTATTAAAGTACGAAGCAGGACATCTGCCACATGTTGTAAAAAATCTTATTGAATTTATTATCAGCCTGATAATTTGGGCTAATATTCTTCGAAAAATCAATCAAATAAATACTGAAATTCAAATGGAAGATATTATTCTTGCGCGTTCCGTCGCATTAATGGAAGGTCTGACCAAAATTTTGCAAAAAAATGAGAGAAATTCCTGCGGAATATTGGATAAAAGAATTTAAAGCAGCAGCCGAAAAAAATTAAAGTTGAACCTATTCTGACAAATAAACGACTTCTAAAACGCAAAAAGGAATTTGATGAATTGTGCGAGGACGAATAACAACATTTTATGTTCAGCTGCTTTCTATAATGCAATGAAAATTGTATTTGATCGAATCTTATCAGAAATTAAAACGAAGGTAAACAGGGCTATTACATTAAATTCAAATTTCCATTTCTCAATGCTCGTGAAATATTGATATGCCAACTGAAGAACTGCAAAAGAATGGAGCAGATCTTTCACGAAAATATGAGCGAGATCTCTAAACGCATTTGAGTTCTGTCAGGAACTTGCCGTTTTTAAAAAACAAGTCCCAGTGTTATTCGTCGACATAAAAAATCTTTTTATCTCTTGCAACAGATCTACACCTATAATTTTCAGAATGCTTTTCACAATATTAGTATTGCCCTGCGGATTTACTCTATGCTTCCAACTACATCCGCAAGCTGTGAGCGACGTTTTAGCAAATTAAAACTTATTAAAAACTATCCGAGATCATCAATGAGCCAGGAGTGTTTATCAAGTCTCGCAACAGAAAATCAAACAGTACATCAAGTTAATTATGACGATGCCATAGATTTATTTTCAGAACAAAAAGTTCGCAGAGTAAAAGTTTAATTTCGTAATTTAAGAGCGTTAGGTAAGAACTTAAAATTATTATTGAAACAAGAATTATGAAAAGAAGTACAAATACTAACCTTTTCCTTTCAGCAGTAGCCCGCATTGTTGTTATGTGTAGCTAATGAAAGTTAGTACGTAATTAATGAACTCATCTATTGTACTAACTTATGTAATCTATTATTTGTAACTAAAGATTATTTTTATTACGAGTGCATAATCAAGGGTATTGAAAGACGTACATAATTTTAAAGGTACCATAAGGTATTTTTCATTCTTTAAGCGTAACATTTTTGCTAAAATCTTCTTTAAACATAACATTTTGTATAAGCATAACTATACAAATTGCTATTATCCATCACACAATGAATGTTTCTTTTATGCGGAGGTGTTCCATTTTTCGATTTGCATGGAAGTATCGTGTGTCGAAATACTATCAGTGCGCTGTCAAGAGTTCTAAATTGTAAACAAAAGGCACTCCATCTGGAGACAGAAGACCTCGGAGCAGTGCTTCACTCACAGTGCGGGGTTGGCCCTTCCTTTCTTTCTTACCTCCATGGTCTCGCTAGTTATTGTTGCAACTATTGCAAAATTGCGAATTTCAGAGAAAATGATTATTACAGTACAAAAATAGTCTTTTGCATGAATATGTAAATATTTATTATGTTATCGGGCTTTGTAAGAACGATAGTAGAGTTCTTGAGTAGGCTACAGGAAGGCATTATTGTGAAATGAATATTTAATGTGTTAGGTTTAAAGTTACTATTAGTATTGAGAAATTGGTACAAAATTATTCAATCCATTGCATTAGTGATTTGTAATTTGCTTATATTTGTTTAAATGAAATTTTTTATTATTTAGTAATGTCTGATGACCATTTTTGTGCTGTGCTGAACTATTTTAGTATTTAGTGCTGAATCGTTTTCTATTAGCATCATCATTTATTAGTGTGAGTAGATATTGTTGCAAATATTGAAAAAAATCCCCATTTCCCATTTCAGGGAAAATGTAAATTTGGTTATTTCAGTGCACCGGAGAAGTAACTGCATTAAGAGGGTTCACAAGGACTTTTAATTATATAACTTTTGGTATGTATGTTTGGCCACCAGCAGCTGAGATGTAAAGTCTGAACACTGGTAGTTCGGTCGGGAGTTAGAATCAAGCGAATTAGCTGGCTGCATGGGTGTTTCCGCCGTTTCGCTCATGCGTAACTTGCATATGAGCCAATTACTCTTAGAAAGACCTCAGAAGAAATCTTCCCTCTTAGGCAGGTAGCTCTCTTATGCTTTGCCATGAGAAAAGAAACTAAACCATTTGTTATATATATTTCTTTTAGAAAAAAAAATAGCACATAAGGAATTTCTTACTATAAAATGGATTTTACATTTTATCTCGAAAACTACCTATTTCTACGTTTATGTAGAAAACTAAAAATTTGTTATAGAAACTTAAAGATGGGTAAGGGCGGCAATTTTAAGTTTTTGCCCCGCCTAGGAAGAATGCTAAATCCGATGCTGTATGCTCCACATGTAAAGTAACATTTGAAGCCTTCTTTAGGGCTTTGACCTTATCCCAAAAGAGTATTCAAGTACTTTACGAAGTGTCTTCTTATCGTATCATGACCTGCTGATAAGACTATTGTGAAACCATGAAAGAACATTAATGACTGATTCAAGAACAGCACATATCAGAAGTACCAACCCAATAGAATAAATCAGAATATTGAAGTGCTTTAAATATCGAGTGGTGAACTAAATTTACAAATTGTCCTGATGTGGTGAGTTCTTCCACCTTACCCCAGTCACAGGTTTAGTCCAGAGACATACACTGCTAAAGGCAAAGCCCCAAACTATCTACTTCCTTCAGTAACAGTCACACATAATAAGTGCAGTCCATATCTCTGAAACTACAGATCAATATTTAAAAGCATACCATATACCATATGTAAAATTTTAAACTAATAGTGCACACTTTTAATATAAAAAATAAGATCGAAATTTACGGGTGTGTTACATGCTGGGTATAAAAATGATAGATTAAAAATAAGGAAAAAATTAGCATACAAAAATTTGATTTTTACATGTACCTAAATGTTGTTTATTTAAAAGAAATGACACATTTTATGAACTTAAACTTTCAGTATAGGATAACATGAAACTTCGTCATGTTCGTTTTCCATTATATCCTCGGGCACATCATGAAATTTTTTTCATTTTAACCATCATTGTTACTCTGATCCATAAATAATCATCATCTGTTCCATCTTTCACCAACACTAAACATCCTTGCTGCAGCACGATTTAATTTTTTTTTGCAAACTGATTGACTTCACATGTGTTGTTTCATTTGGCAGGAGCCATATTTACTACTAAAAGGAACACTAGATCAATTGTATTTCAACTGAAGCAAATGCGATTTACTAAAGCCTTCGATGTTCACTTTAAAATCACGCCTTCAGTTGACCACAGAAAGAGATCCGACTCCTAATTCTGTGAATTCATTCAGGCCGGAAGGGTATTCTTAGCCCAAATTCTGTCATCTTTTCCTGGAAACTCTAGAATAACATTCTTGTGCACACTCACATTGAATACAACTCCCCCCTTTGCAGAATTATTTACTCCCTCAAGCATTTCCCCCTACACACGTATTGTTTCCCTTATCAATTCAGTATACCATTGTCCTCGCCGGAGAAAAATCTTCAAACGAATGACTTCAAATTATAAGAGCATCGCACATGTATCTTTCAGGTTTCTTCGTAAAAGAAGGGTTATACGGCAAATATATCTAAACATTAATAAATGTAGTTTGAAATTAAAGGTGCGTGTTATACGCCGGAATACACGGTAACTGAAATATACTCGGTGGCTGTCAAAAATTGCTTCCTAGGCCACCAGCTTAAGATAACTTTTTTAAAGTGTTAAGTAAACTAACACTACAAAATAAAAATCTATTTATCAACAGCAAAATTTCTAATTGTAATTCTGTAAAACTACTGGCTGCATCTGACATTAATTAAATCAACAAATTTTTGCAGCAACATATATATAGTAAGTCTCTTCTTTTACTTTTGCTCAAATGGTAGCATATATTTTTTAATATTCTTCTGTTCATATTATTGTGCACTCAAAAAAGAAATACAGAAACTTTTAAAACTGAAATTCTTTTTGATTTAAGTTTTCCTTTCATTCAGCAATACAAATTTACTTACGAGTTGACAACATTAGATACTTTTACTTAAAACAATGTTTCAAATATACAGTCCTATGAAACATTAAAAAGATGGAATAAATTGCATTACTTAGGCCCACCAGTAGCAGAGCGGTTAAGTCCCTGAACACTGGTAGTTCGGTCTGAGGTTCGAATCCTGCGAACGGGCTGGCTGCATGGGAGCTTTTTCCCATGAGTAATGTGTTAATATGAGCCATTTTCTTCTAGAAAGTCCTCCATAAAGGTATTCCTCCCTTCCGTGTAGTGCCTCAGGGCAGAACACATTAATAATAATTGCAGTACTTGCGTTATCACTCAAGCATACAAGGAAATTTAAATGAAAGTTAGCTGTTAAGAGGAAAGCAAAATTTTGATGGTTTTAAGTAGCTAAGAATGAAAGCTATTAGAAAACTGATTCAGATAAAAAAGGTGTTAAGAACTAAAATCCAAGTTCTTAAATTGTTAGGAAGACACATTTAATTTGGTATACCCTTAAAATGGTAAGTGGAAATATTTGACAACTAATTTCTTGCTACAGGAATGCAAACAGTAATTGAGAAGAAATCTGAAAATTAGATAATTACTATGTCTTTAAAACCAAAAAATAAAATTCATGACACTTTTGAACTAATCAGTAGTAAAAATATATACAAATATTAATTTTTTGGTTTTAATAGTTTGAAACATTGCAATTTGAGATACTAAAAAAGCATGTTATTATTAAGCTGTTCCCAAATATGTTAGGAAGTTTTAAAATTTATTTATATTATAGACCTGTGCACAATATTAAAACACACATAATAGCTAAAATTCTTTTATTCAAATAGTAAGGCAATTATAAAATTAAAGAGCTAGAAATAACACAGTTAATTTTTCTATATGATTATATGATTCTGCAAATATTATATATAAATTGTCTTTTATTCACAATCAGTGGAAAGAATGCAACAAGATATACTAGATTAAACTCACCTTCACTTAAACTAAATTATAACAAAAACATATATTTTATGCTTATTATATGCTTAAAAACAAAATACAACTTTAGCTACTTAAAAAATATTTAAATAAGATTTAGGAAAAAAAAGACTATTGATATTTCAAGGTACTAATACTGATACTGTAGAAAATTAAACAACTTAAAACATAAATTATAATAACATATTTAAAAAAGAATTAAATACTTTACTCTAGTTAATGCTAGGCTTTGATTTAAATGCATAGATAATTTCACACTAAACTTTAGGATAATTTAAAAATTGATTAAAATCTCTACGTAATCAGATCACAATTTTAAGCCTGATGTTACCTGACACAAATAAGATGGCATATGAAATCAATATATATATAAATATAAAGTTTAATGTATTTACAAATTGTAAACCTAGTATAATCTGAATAATCCCTGTGCACTGTAAGCAGTAACAATTATAAAGATCATTTGATATCATTCATTTAATTGCAGGTTTCAGCAAGGCATTTTTATAAAGCATAATTACACTTCTAATTGCATAGTTAATGTATAACATACATGGCAGAAATTGCATGGATACTCGGTAGTACGTTTTGACACATAACTCTGCTTTAAACATTATACAGACATAAATAAAGACATAATAACTATTAAGTATTATGCATAGTTTGCATGCGACATATCTACAGAATTTATATTGTATTATAAAATGCTATGATTTAACATATGAACAATAAAACCCATCATAACAGTTTTTAACAATGACAATGCATACTTGGCTTGAGTCATTTCATTTTGCCATATATACAAATGATAACAATAACAGATAGCTGCCACACAATATAAACTGTTAAAATTGGTTACAGATGAACACATCATGGAGAGCACTGCCATCATAGTAATGTTATCTATCTTACACATTTCTAAAAAAACATTACCACACAAATCAGATATATAAAAGATGTGCATTATTATATGATAATATATGGCTAAATTGTTACCTAAGCTGAAAAAAAAAACCCTAATTTAGCTTTGCAGTCTTTGTTACAAAAACCAATAAGAAATAATAATTTATAATAATAAATTTGCAGTAACTGTATTCAGTGTAAGATAAAGTTTTGATGCCACTATCAGATGATTTTTTTTAATTGTGTAAAAATTTGACACTTATGTCACCCACACAATTAATGAAACATACTATTTTGAAAAATTTGTAATATTTAATCAGTAGTTTGAGATGTTTATAAACATATAAAGGGTCTGCAAAAAAATGACAGATACTTTTATGAGGGCTTTATGAAATATGTATTAGGTATAATGGATTAAAAGTGCTTTTATTCAATTCAGTTACCAAGAAAAGATTATGTATACATGTTTTTGCAATGTACACAGGGGTGGGGAGAAATGGATTATAAATACTTGCCTATTCAAATTGTTTTATCTTCAACAGTCCATTTAATTGTAAAAGTCAACAGTTGGATCTCTCTAAATTAGTTGTATATGACATCATGCATAAGAAATTGAGATTATATCTTTATAAAATTCAAATGATGTTTTCAGTCAAACTGCAGGACACCATAAAGTTAGGAAGACTTAATTCTTGACCATTAAAAATTTGAATTGGTAAGTATTTATTGTCGAGTGATGCTTCATGTGCATAACCAAAGCAAATGCAAATAATGTTTCTGAGCAATAGAATTAAATAAAATTACTTTCAATCCACATATCATCTCTGAAAGAGATCAACAACAGATCTCTGAAACTTTTATTCTTTTCACAGACCACATACAATTTTTCTCTTTTATACTCAATACCAAATAAATATAAAACAACTTGCTTAACATTTGTACTATTAAAATCCACTGGAATAATTTACTGATTTCTTTGGCTGAATAAATATACATTTGTTTAAAAAAATCCACAGTTAAAATATTAATTCTGCAAGTATTTTAAATTATTATATCTTATGGAATGGCCGAGTGGTTCAGACAACTGAATACAGCGGGTCTGACCGTGTTCAATCCTTGATTACAAGCTGGCTGCCAAATGCATCACAAAACCAGATTAATTCACTTCTTTACTTTTGATATGAATAAGCATTTTTTAAATCAATTTTAAAATTTTAACATAGTTTGAGTCTTGAATGTAAATAAGTACTACCTTTGCATTTAGTGTACAAATGTTTTGTAAAAATGAGTATTTAAAACACAAATTTATACTTATTTTCATGCCTGCAAAACAGCAGCTGCTGATTCAGTATCCATGGCTTACTTAGAGAAGGGAAGAACACATTTCAGAATAAGATCTGGCATTAGTATAATGATAAATAGAAATTTAAACATGTTCAGCATTGACTTCCCACAACAACATTCACTATGAATATTTGTCTTTTGGGGAAATGTACCCATATTATATACATATATATAACACACACACACACACACACACACATGGGACTCCCTTCATAATAACACCCATCATAAAGATGCTCTCACTTTTACATACTTACTATTTAGAGAGACAAATTTTCATATGAGTAGCCCAGCATAAACTTGCCCACACCCAAATACAGATTAGCTTCTAACTTACAAAAAACAAACCTTCATAAAGGTGACTTTAAGCCAGAGAATGAGCATGCAAATCGAATTTTTGGTTGCTTTGATAATCAAAGTAGCAAACTAAAATCCTACTTGCATAGCAGTGGCCCCAGTATAAAAAAAGGAACATGCATGTTTGTGAAGGTTTGCTTTTTACATGTTAGAAGCTGTTCTGAATAAAGGTGCAGGCATGTTTATGCTGCGGCACCCGTATGAAAATTTCTATAGTTCCAAACAGTTATCAACTTTCACAAAGTATATTTATGATGGAGTACTGTCATAAAAACATACCAAAAATAATTTGAACAGAACTTGTGTGCTTGTTTAAGAATACAGGTCACACTTTAGATGCTCTTGTTAGCTTAAATATTTGCTAGATGCATGTAAACAGATACTGCTTTTGCATATAAACAGACAAACTCTTTTTTTTTTTTTTTTTTTTTTTTGTTTCTATACTCATATGTGTTATTTTTATTTTGCCATGAAATGGTACATTATATTGTATACTAGAGGTATTGCACTTATTCACTGCTCTGTTTGAAGATTAAGCTGAAATGATAGAAACTCTTCATTTCATATGTACAAGAAAAAAGGCGGAAAACAGTATAGAATAGTGTTTAATGTATGTTGCATTATTTTAATTTGTAGAGAAATATGTCGAAATCTGCATAGTATACTTTATAATTATTATAAGTAAAATTATAAATTTCTTATTATGCTTTAATGCAACAATTAAACTACACCATATTAGACATGCTGCACAAACAATATGTTTAAAATCACATTCTTTATTATCTATAGTTGCATACAGCCATGCTAAGTCCTGGAACATATAAACCATGGATATGGCAACATTGAATAGTAATACTTTCAGATTTAAAATACTATTTGGTATTTTACTATTACATTCGAAATTTAGTATTCAAAATAATGAATTGCTCATTTAAAATTATTCATGAATACTATTGAGTAATTTCATAAGAAAAGAACATTAATCCACCATAACTACTACTATTATGTAAGATAATTACAGATTATAGGAAGCAACATATTGGGCGAATCCCATCTCACATTAATGTTCATGAATTTAATGCTTTTTGCAATTTGAGAAAAGATCTGGCATGGACTCCATTCTTTGAGGAAAAGATGAGACTCCTAACAAATGAACTAAATGTTTACAAAGTAATTAAATAAAGAAATAAAAATGTGTTTAAATAATGATGAATTTGTTTAGTGAGATGACAATCCTTCTGCATATGGTGTATGGCAGCGAACAATATTTATAATATAAAACACCTCACATATTGAAATATGATTTATAACAAAGTCAGGTAAATAATTTAAATAATTCATATACACATCTTAGGTAAGCAATCCTGATTATTATTAAAAAAGAGAAACATAAACAATTACATATGAACTGAATATTGTGGCATGATTATCTATGTAACATAACCAGCATGTTACATAAATGCAGGAACAAAGTCACTAATATACATATTTACAGAACATATATTACAAATTGGATTAATCTACATTTTCTGAGTGCACTTGCACTTGTGCTAACACTTTGCGTGGCATCCATGATGGCCCTGTGCATTCCATTTTCATAACTGACGGTGATATGGAACATGCTGCGGACGGCACACAAGAAACTGGTGAAGAAGTACGACTACCACTACTGAATGAGTGTTGAGATGTTGGATTGATGAGCCTGTCTTTTCCATTTAATAGAGGTTCAAAGTATGGAGTCAATTCTGAGTCTTCATGTGGTGTCATTGTGCTGTAACCATGATCACTATCACCACCTGGTGGTCTTCTGTAATTTGTAGGAACACGATACGGTGATATTGCAATATTATCCATGTTAGGCAGTAGTTGACACATCGGAGGAACTAAAATGAATAGAGAAAGTTACATTGCTTCATATTTTAGATTACAGTCTTGAAAAAAAATATACTTAATTTCTTAAGATGAAAAATGCAGGATAAAATAGCAATAAGCTAGATAATTTTGGATGATTTTAAATAGATTTTAAAGCTGTCCTATATAATTTGCTACCAAGCATTCTGCAATCACTCAGCAGATTTTCACACCATGTGAAATGTCTCATGTTTATTTTGGATAAATTTATTAATAGGCCATTTTCTTTAAAATCTGATTAAATCACTTTTGGAAATAATTATGTTATCTTCACTACATCAAAATATAAAGAAGATTTTCATCTATAATATACTCTTTAAAATAACTACATATTTTAGGACAAAATGATAATGATTGCAATAATTCAATTAATAGTTTCAAAAACTGTTACATTTATTAGCAATTAATCAATATGTACATAACATTTTAAAATATATATTTAATTTCACCATTTTAAGAATAGACAGTTAGCATGAGCATCAGTTTAAAACTTAGATGCCCAGGCATTCACACAGCAATTATGAAGTTAATCTTAAATTAAAAAAAATAAAAGACCTCTACCTGAATTAATTGGCTCTTGGTATGGTTCTAGTTCATCAGGCTCATTATTAAGTTGAGCCATCCTGAAATTTGAATCTGGAGACGATGATCCAAAATGAGACGAATTACTTCTTAGAACATGATGGCGATAACAGTAAACTCCAAGTGCAATTGCAAGGAATAATATAATTAAGCCTCCAGCAACAGGTCCGACGGGTGTACTTTTTATTCTGAGGAATTCACCTTCTGGCAAATGCTCTAAATAAACAAATAAATACTGATAAATAGATAATCCACACTATTTTAAGATCACAGCTTTGCAACACTTTTCTTTGACATTACAAAGGTCTTTCAAGCAAAAATGTCAACTTTTTTTGGGGGGGGGTGAGCAGCTGATCCTAAATATTCAAAAATCATATCTGACATAAGGCAACTGTTGTCTTTTTTGAACCACGATGACGGCAAAATGCAAATGACATAAAGGGCACTACATGACAGAGAACAAGGCGAAGAATTTACTGAAACATTCCGGAAAGAAACAAAGTCATTCTGAACATTACTACTTTGAAAAGCAGAAGCCTCATTTCTGTTCCACCCAGCTGTCTAATAACATCTGGCATGAAAATGAAACCCAAACAAATGGTCTCAAGACACTACTACCCCAAAACTACCAAACAAGGAATATAAAACAGTCAAAATGACTGTTAGCCATAATTATAAGTACACAGTTTAATACAAATAATTTAATTTTATTTGTGATCAAAATGACTGCTACAGTAATACTATTTTATACATATAAAAATAATCTGAAAGGTTTCAAATTTTAAATTACGTCCAAAGAGGCATTTTTTTTAACATCTTGTGTGTTACCTTTATTTATTAAATATCAAGTTCTTTGCACTTAAACCATAAAATTCAGTCCAACAGCAATGTTGCAAAATAATTTTAAAATGAGCATATCTTTAGAATTTCCAATACACAGTTCTGCACATTGGAGATAAAAAGCCCACCCCTGTAGAGTGTCGCCATTGCTCGCTTTTAAATCGTTGAGTTTGTTAATCAAAAATTCGTATTCGTTATTTTTTTAAAAATTCATTTAAAAATAAGTTTTACAAAATATGAAATCGATAATAAAACAAATTCCAAATTTGGCCTTTCAGATGCCCATATTCGCAGTAAGATTACATCATTCAAAATTGGATGGCTCTAGGTACTATCACAATGCAAGAAATACACAAACATTTATGCAAATTCTTCATTATTTAATACAGAGCAACAGTATTTGGTGTCAATGATTTAAAAAGTGATTTGCCATTTATAGGATTCCGACACAAAAATGCAAACGAAAACAATAGTCCTTCAGGGACAAAGCCATTTTGGACTAAAAAAAAAGGGGGGGGGCTGCAATTTTTATAAAACTTGCTGCTTTGCCATAATTTGAGACACAGAATCAAAATATGGAAAAACTAGTAGATTACTTCAAACAAAATCAGATTTTATGGTAAAATATGTATGCTAGAACAACATCATACATAAATTTAATATATAATCATAAGTCTCACATTTGAGACAAGAAAAAATGCAAGTTTAGTTTCTTCAATCAGCCAACCAGAATGGGAGATACACAACTGCCCTACTTTTTTTTGAATGACTGTACATTGCCATTTCATAATTTTATTACTATACCTATTCTGAGTTACACATTCAATCTTCAATCAGTTTATTTATAGTTACAGAAATTAGCAATGCTCATATCACATGAATGTGATTGAAATAAAACATCCTTTTAACTCATTCCCTGCATTGCAGCCACATTTTTTAATAACTAAATATTCCCAATTTGAATTTAACTCTTCATATTGCTTAAAAAGTTAGTATATACTGACTACAAAAATATTTATCATTCTATTTATTTACATACATTTTTATATTTTCATTCTGAAAATCAATCATTTAGAAGTTGATGAAATAGCATTTTAGAAAGTTGCAAATAGTTTTGTTAGCAAAGCAAATATTATCTGTTATATCTTTTAAACTAACTATCCATAGTGATTCAGCAAAAACTGTTTTCACAATGTATTTCACTTGTGAGTGAGATAATTTGTATTTTCATCCTTTTGAGAAATACCGAAATCACGCTGACGCTCGCCTGACCCATCGGTGGGTTATATTTGTCTGTTCCCTGAGGCGGCATGCTTGTATATCAAAAAATACAATTATTATATTATAAAATATATAATTTTTATAATATAATTATTTAATTTTATAATTTTTATTTATAATTTATGTTATAATTTTTATTTTTAAATTTTTTAATTTGGCGTTGCGCCGCCCCACAAAACAGACCGTTAATTCAAGCACCACTGCATGAAAAGAACAATGAATATCCGTGTCGCCGTCAATGTGTTAAAAGACCTACTTTGCGGCAAAAATGAAACAAAATCAAATTATTTACATGAGCATCACATAATTATAATTAACTATATGCAAATTAACGAGACATACCGATAATTTCATCAGCATAAGGTGTCCTGGCACCTAAAACTCCTCCAAAACATTTTCTTTGTTCAGTGCAAAATTTTGTTTTCAGAGGCGTAACACCGTCTGATTCAAGTTGACACCATTCACAACCCAGGATTCCAAAACAATCACTTAAAAAAAAGAAATTTAAAAAAACAGGTGTTACATTTTAATATATAATACATGTAGACATGAAGTGTAACATTGGTGTAAAAAATTATTATCAGAAACAAATTTATCCATTCATCAATTTGCACATAATGTACCAGGACAGTCCCCCTACTTAATTACCTCCACAGGCGATGTATTAAATAAATTAATGAAGTAATTTTGTGGAGCAACACAATAAACACACAATTGTCCAACCATGATTTATTAGCTGTTGTCTTCATAATTCCAGAGCCTGCTTTAAAAACTCCTTAGGTATTGGATTGGCAATGGCTTGCAACATCCCATTGCAACAATTTGTTCAGTGATACTACCATGAGGCAAGTTATTGAACACTGATATTAAACCAATATAACTGACATGCAGCACATGAGAGCTTTGATTTATTCATGTTTGAAATGCTGGAAAGAATGCTACAGAGGATTTGAAAACACATAAACTAGAATTTTTCATATGATGGAGGAAATACGGACTTCTTCAACAACTAATCAAGATAAGTTCATTACATTACAATACATTAAGTAATGAGTTTATTTTATGGGAATAAGCATATCCCAGACAAACAGTAAGTCAAAAAGAATCATCTTGTTACAAATGGCCACAGCAAATTTAATTAGACCATATTAAACCTGTGACATAGCTGCCTTTGACTATTTAAGAGTCTTGCCACATAGATATTGATGAAAGAACCTTTTGGTTACCCTGTTGGCCAAAAAGAGGAAAAAAACTCTTCATCTGGCCTCTAAAATTGTCAGACTTTCTTGGAAAAATTTTCCAGAGGATGAAACGAAAAATATTTGTTAAAATATATTGTTTATGTGTCAACCATGCTATCTGACCTTAATAAATTCAATGTTAAGCACATCAACTATGCTGTGAACTGAAAATTAACCACAGAATGGATGTGTGTCACATGACAAAAGGATCTCGCAGTGAGCATCTGTAACACGTGACCAAAAACTTGGATAGCAAAAGTTCTATTTGATGTATCACAGGTAAATTTGTGCCCATTAAATTGTTTTCTATCACCATTTGCAGAAGGATGATGACTTACCACACATTTTCTATGATTTAACTTAATCTTAGAGTTTACAGGCTTGTACATAAATATAATAAGAATGTTACTTATGTATCACATATTTGTCTAAAAATTTAATACCAATATATCTTTCAAACAGATAAGCGAATTAATTTACCTTAATTCAGTTCGCAATGAACAATGGTGCTCATAACATGGCTGCAATGTTTCTAAAATATTTGTATCAACAACAGGCAAGTTAGGCAGCTCAGGAAAATAAGGACATGTTGGATACCTGAAAGTATACACATATAATTTTACTAAATTATAAATGAAAAATACACAAATTATGAAAATTATTATTATGAAAGGCTTAAATTATTATAGAAAATACACAAATTTGAAAATGTTTAAAATATGTAGATCAAAACTGTCTACTTCAAATACACTCACCGATTGCTTTCATTAATTAATTGACCAGTACACAAATCCATTTTAAGAGGGCATTCACAGGGACATTCACATTCTGTGGGCTCCATACGATGACAATTCAGACACTCCCTGTCAGTCTGGAAAAGTAATCATTATAAATACATTCAATTAATGACATTATGATTTCAAGATTTTATAACTCATACATAGATTCATGACTGCTTTGCTACATATACCATATGAAAAAGAACTGGAGACTTACATTGTTGCTGGAGATCAATATTTTAATGCTGCACGCACACACATTGTGAAAAAACATTTGTATACTATTTTAAAATTTATAACTAACAATACTCTCTTGAATTTTACAATGCATACTGAAAATTTATCAACAGAGAATGAAATTTGCTTACTTAAATGGAAATATTATTATTAAAAAATTAAATACTTTCAACACAGAAAAATAGAGTCCTGTAACTTGCAAGATTTAAAAAAACAGGATATAATTAACCTTACAAACTTAAAAGCAGGTGCGACACCTTAGGGCATGTGCTGCTAAATTTAAAACTGAGAAATTGTTCATTGAATCACTAATTTAATTAACAGACATGCAAAATGAAATGAGTTGTGCATTATCACTTACTGTATCTTTCTATACCTCCCTCACTGTAAAAGAAGTGTACATGCTGAAGAGTTACAGCATTCAGCCAGCAAAAAAATTTACAATGTGCAAAGCAAACGCCTCCCTTCCCCTTCTTCTTTCACCTGCAATGCAGGGGATTGGCTGAACTTTGCACTCCAGCATGTTATCACTTCATAGTTACAAGGAAGGAATATTCCATACTTCATCAAATTTAAAGAAATTCATTACTAATTTTTAATAAGAGTCTGGTGGTAAGTTAAACAATTACTAACTATTAAAATGTTTGCCTTAAATATAGACTGAATTATAGAGTTATAGCGACCTGGAAACATTTTGATACAAATAAATAGGGTTTAGACTATTAATGCACTAGTATAACTTTTTACATGTTGACATTTTCATGGAATACTGAATTCTTGTTCAATTTCTTACATGTATTGCTAAAAAAAAAAAATAAATAAATAAATAAATAAATAAATAGAGGAAGGGGAGAGATAGAGAGAGAGCAATAAAACAGTTGGGGCATGAGAACAGCACCACATACACAGAAGGATAAAATGAGGTCTGAAATTTAACAGTATGCCAGAGGCAAGTGTTTGAGGTTTGCACTGTATTTTGCATTGAATTTAAAGCTCAATTATTACTTCTTTAAAACTTCCACATACTGGAAGACTAAGAGAAAGATATTTTCTAGAAATTTGAAGCAACATATACAATTGAAGAAAATTAGCCAGTTAGTAGAAAAGGTGGCCCTCCTCTTGATGTCTTTTCAATTGTTTGGTAGGAGAGAACAAATTATGGAATTATAGATGAAATAAACAAATTCACTGCATCAATGGCAAAATAATTAGATAAATGCTATAGTATGTGGGCACTTTTTCTTCGAGGATTTTCTTCCTTTTCAGGAAAACTTTGCATGCTGTTGCTGAGGCAGCATTGGCATCATAGTTTTCACCACTGGTTACATTGTACTTTATTATCGAGGTACCTAATAAGTGGGTTTACCTCCTATGAAGAGACAAACAATTTACATCTGTGCCTTCTCTGGGATTTGAACCATGGCCCTTCGGTATGGTAGTCAGAGTTACTAACCACTTTCCCACCTGCATAGTAGCTCCAGTTAAATCAACAGAAGAAAATATCTAAAAAGCTTCATAACGAAGTTAAAATAAAAAACAGGGAAATTTTAAAATGTTGATAGCTTGTTTATGCTTCTTAGTAAAAGAAGTGCTGCCGTTTAGATGCCATGGTGAATTTACAGATTCAGTAAGTGGTTGATTTACATAGATAGCATGGATTCATTAATTTTTTGCTTTAAGAACCATTTTCTCTTAGAAGCATTTTAATGATGTTTTGACAATTAAATACACTTTTTGAGATTTCCAAAAGAAAACCTTGATATTGCTTATGAAAAAGAGATTGCAAAGTTTCAATATATGCTTGTGTCACAGAGAAATGATTTTGAAGCAGTATGGAAAAATGATAGCACACAAGAGACAAATGAATTTTCAGCAAAAAGAACGTATGCTGACATATGCAAAATTCAGGTGACTTTGAGATTTTACATCAAATATCCCAAAGATTTGGTTTCCTTAATAAACTTGAATTTATAACCCTTTTGAATGAACAGAACTTTCTTTTTACAATTCTAATTTTTCCAAAATATTGCTAAATAAATAAAGGGCCAGTTCATACTGCAGACTGCTTGATTTCATAAAGCTTAAAAATGAGCTGAATGCTTTAAATTCTTCTGCAGAGTCTGAAAATTAACCTGTAGAACTAGTAATACCAACAATATTCATAGCATTATGAATGAAACTTACAAATTATCTTAATTCATTCTATCAGCAGAATGAACATTTTTGGAATGATCATTATCAAAAGTCAGATAAGGTCTGCATTCTTCAATGGTTGCCAGCGCATGTCAACATCACAGGTAACAAGAAAGCAGATAAACCGGCAAAAGAGGCTTGAAATCTCAACAATAATGTAAATGCCACTATCTTGATAGGAAATGCAGCGGCAAAATACAGAATGATGGAACTTTCAATTCAAATAAAGCACTACCTCTATAATATCAATGGAGATCGACTTATAACTAAAAGCATTGTCAGACTTAGAACTGGCCATCACAGAGGATTGAAAATTGACAGAGAGGGTAGAAAAACTTACAGGAACTGTGATAACTGTCTGCATGCAGAACTGACAACTGCACATATTTTTGACTGTCTGGACATTCTTGCTGAAATGCTAAAAATTGGGGGTCTTGTTTAAGAGATTTAACTTCTATGATAATAGTATTTTGCAGATTGCCAGGGCTACCATCTCCACCTATGCCACTATTTGAATAGGTTTTAATCAAAGACTTGATAACAATATCATTTTCAGCCCTGAGAAGACGTAATAATTATATTAGAGTAAAGCAGCTACAAGCGAGATTAAGTGCGCTTAGTATATTATATAGCAAGGAACAACATGTTCTGAGAGTTAAAGCATGGCCCTGATTTTGTGAAGATATTATAAAGAAATTTACTGTTTAAAATAGGACAGAATTCACATTAAAATAATTTTAATGAATGTAATCTAAGCATTATTTTTAGATTTTTTTATTGTATCTCAAGCCTTAGGAATATACTGTTATTTCCATAAACCGCATAAAATGTGTATCTTCTATGTAAATTTATCATGTAAATATCTAGATGAAAGGATTAATGGCAAGTTTTAGATATTTATTATTTGTAATTTTATTTATGTTTTAATATAAATACATAATTATATTTGAATATGTGTAATGATAATTCCCATTCATTAATACACATTTTTCTTCAAGCAAAAAGCCAGAAATATTTTGGAAAAAAAAAAAAAAAAGGGGGGGGGGGGTAGGAAAAAGTGTAAAATTAATTTTATAGAGAAAACTGATGCATATTCTGAGAATTTTGAATAATCTGAGACAATTACATTTACGAATACTTACTATGAAAAGGAAAAATGCTTACTATGAAAAAATTAAAAAGAAGACATTTTAATTAATTACATAGCTAATTTTGCTTTTACTAAGAGCTGTTTTGTAAATTATGCTTTATAGCTATATACCTTGTTTATTTTTCAGATTTAAAATATTGTATAATAAGTTGCCAAAATGAAACTTTATAATATGGCAGCGAAAAATAAAAATGTTTTATTTTAATGTTATTTTTTAAATATAATTCTAATATATTACCATTATTTTAATGAAATTTATCAATGTTACGATGTTTAAAAAAAAAAAAAATCGCCAAAAAATTCTCATCTCAGAATAAAAATTTTTCCATAGAAACTGATCTTAAAATCGCCAAAATGTTGACAAGTTGTCAAATATAGAACCATTTAATAAAAGAATTCACAACCCCAAAAGCAAAAAGTTGTTTAAGAGTATTAGAAAAAATGAATTTCGAAATGCTTATGTTTCACTTCTTGCTTAGAAACTCGAGTATCCCATCATTTATATTAGAAATAGAAACAAATTATAACGCATGAAGCCATTCAAAAGATAACCATATACGTCAGTGAATTGCCAAAAATATTCCTTAAAAATGCTAATTCACACTCAAAATGGCAGTCGTAAAAAGAGAGAGAAATTTCAGATGATTAAAATTAAGGACCTTCTACTGATTTTGGACAAAATTAAGGAATTTTAAGGACCAAAAATTATTGACAAAGGAATATTGGTTGACTCTCTGTACATTAAGACAATTCAGATCAAACAAAATTTAATAAAAATTATCCTGAAAATTACTAGCAGTGGGAATATGCAACTGCCACAATTTAAGTTTCAATTAATTCAATAAATTTTATTTACTGCTAGGGAGCACTTTTTCTTTTAGTAAAGATTAAAAAATTAAATCCAGAAAATGTGATAATGAAAGAGAATCTTTTGGTTTTACCAGGAGAATTGACAAGAGAATGCATACTCAATTGGAAAATTTCACTTTTTAACTGATATCTCAAACATTTCAAATCTGTGGTTCCATCACCAACATCATGAAATTGGGTAGCTGGTTATAAATAATGACAAGTATTTTCAGATGCTGGTGAAATATTTTAAGAATTCCTGGTCTTAAAAGGCTATTGTAAAACAAAGACATTATTGTACAGCAAAATTATTAAAACTTTAATTTTGATAAGATTAATAATAACTTACTGAAGAAAATAATAACCTGCATCAAAACAGAAAGTTAAAGATAGCAATTCACAATCATAGCTAATCGTAAGTTCAAGAGAATATAATTCTATCTATCTTCCTTCATCACTGCCATGCCAACAAGAGAAAACTAGAATGTGCAACATTCACTTACAAACAAACGTGGATCATTTGGTATTACTTATAATGTACAGGGTTGGATAAAAGGAAAAACGCTGTACCCCTATGAAAGCCGCAAATGAAATTTTGGTTCACTAAATGCTCATAGGTAATGGTATGGTAAAATAATATGCAGAATGACATCATACCATCATTTCTTAACAAAAGAAATTTCAGTTAATTGGCAGAAACATTGATTTACGAAGCCCTTGCTCTTTTTTTTTTTTTTTTTTTTTATTATCATATTCTCTGTTCCTACAATGTGTGATGGGAAAAATTTTATGCGGGATGCTTAGATGTAAGGATAATTCCGATTATTTGACATCCAGATTTCAAACTTTGTACTATTCAATGATATTGAGAAATAGAAGTATACACTGAAAATAATGAACAGAATGCTATTAATGGATGCTTGTGCAACTACTGGAGAGAAGAATCATAGAGACTTAACCTGGAACTATGCAACTAGCTACACATTCTCTGAAACTACACAAGACAGCCAAAAGATAGTATTTATGCAGAAAAAGATGCTTTGGAGGGAGAATTCCAAAGGAAAAATTACAATATATTATTGCAGATAACATTTTTCTTAAAAAAATTTGAATTTCAGATTTTTACATGCAGACTGAAGAAAATGTGTATTTTAAAATGCTAAAATATGATAAACATAGTTCTAAATTACATCTTACCATGCTGCATGGACAAAATGCTGTTATTCCATCACACGTCTGATTAACTATTCCAAGAAAAATGTTGGTACCATAAATATGAATTACCTATAAGAGATGAATTCAGATGTTTTAATGCTTGTAAAAAGGTAAATTACAAATAAAAATATTTATTATTAGCGTTAATGAAAGAAAATCATTACATGATACTTAGTGCACTGTTCTCCATGGACAGCATTTGTGAGAACTGTGTCCAAACTCATGTTGAGCTATAAGGGGAAGAAGAAATCCAAATTTTAAAATGTTAAAATATATTGCAAAGTAAAAAAAAAAAAAAAAAATGCACATTAAAATACAAATTATTGACAAAGGAAGATTTTGAACATAAATTCTGGAAAAGTATAGTAGTTCCTAGAAATTAAGTGGGGGTATTACAATCTCCCAGTAAAAATATTATCGTCACGATATTACACAAATAACGTTCATACTATATACTTAAATTGATTATATTGTATTTGAAAGTTGCTCTTACCTGATAATACCTCTGGATTGTTCTATCACTATAGCTATTGCAAACGTTTTTGGAAACGAATTCCCGATGATTGAGAAGATCATTTGCAACAAGAGGTTCCTATACAATTTATAAAAGTTTAAATTAGCTATGTCATAGTTAATCTGGAAACATAAAATCTGATTAGTACTGTTGCTATTATAAAAAATAATCTCTTGTTTTCTACAGCTGCATGATTGGCACATAGCTATGATGCAAAAAACCATGGTAAACCAAAAGTTAAAATCTAATGGCTATTTTGAAGTAAAGCTTCAAAAGTATAAAATCACTTTTATCATTAACCAATGAAAAACTGGAATGTATGTGTTCAACTTATAATGCTGGAAACTCATTCTAGTAACAAAATCCTTAAAATAAATCAAACTGCATAAGTAATTCCAATTCTGGAAGCATTCATCCTCTCATTTACCATACATGAAATTTCTTCAATTGCAATCTATTTTTAAATGAGACTAACAAGCTCTTATTCTAAAGTATTTTCTACTACTATAACTTTCTGAAAAAGGAAAGGGGCAGGGAATATCATTTACTGAAATTTATAACAGTCTTTTTTATTATTTTTAATTTTTGCCCAACAACACTCTAAAGGTATTAGAGCCACCCCCAAAATACAATTAAAGAAACTCATCCAAATAAGAGTATAGCCACTATTTACACTTCATATGATAAAAATTTCTTTCCAGCAATGAAATTCTACACATCTGGAAATGAATACAAGCAATAGATAAAACATTTAAATAAACGCAAAATTCAAGAGTTAACCAAAAAATTATATTTATTGTGGATAATTAATTATATGGTCCACTGTATGTACAGTGAATCCCCCCCCCCTCTAAAAGGCAGGAGGAAGTGGGATAGTTCCATGTCTCCTTTTCTGTTCCACCTATTGGTGAAATTCAACTTGTTTCTCATGTTTTGAAAGCATAGCTTAGGTTATTATTTGGACTTTTCTGAAATTACAATGACTTCCCCCCCCCCACAGTTTGATTCTACATCTCAACTTAGGCCAAAGTGTCAAGTTTTATACAAACTGCAGTAGCAGTCTTTTTTTTTAAACTAGCACTCAAAGCTTTAGCTCTGTGATGTTAATTGAATTTGTTATATATTCTGTCATAACATTCAAAATTTAGGTTTAATCTAAATAATATTCAAATATTTTTTCCAATTTATTAAAAATTTTTTTGAAGTAATTTTCGAAAACAAATTTTCATAGCAGATAAAATCCCCGTGCAAGCAGTATGACTGAGTTCTATGAATCAATAAATAAAATTGTATTTTTTTTAAATATAATTAATACAACACTTTTCCAATATACAGAAAGATCAATAACTTTATTGTAAAATATAAGATAGTTAATATTTCCAATGACAATAATAAAGACAGAAAGATACACAGGATACCATCCCTCCCAGTTAATAAAACAGTCATTAAGTAAAATGGAATATTTGTACCCTTAAGATACACCATACCAGTTAAGGGCAACATATTTCTAATTTTTACATTATATGAAAAAATTACAATTAAAAATTGTACATAACCGTTATGACAATAACTCAAATAATTTGGTTTTTATATACAATCTTGCTCTAAAGAACAACAATTTAAATTCCAAACTATTTTGCTCTGCTGTGCTCTGCTATTAGAGAACACGGTTACAAGTGACACTCAAAGTAATTATTAACAACTTGAAGAGATGCTAATAATAAATGAGAATATTATAATATGAAAATATTACATGAATTAAATAAACTAGTAAATGAAAGCCAGTAAGAGCTCAAAGATGTGTTTAATAGTAAATTCCTGTTTGTTACAAATGCAGACCCAAAACATGAAAGTGTAGCGCTTGTAATTGAGCAGATATCCAAAATAAAATTTTACAAATTTAATGATACAATAAGGTATAATTTTTGTATTAATTGTTATTACAAGTTAGATCTGCACATTTGATGTAAGTAAAAGTAAGCACATTAAATTATAATACAGTCCGTTATTTAAGTCTTTAAAATACTGAGGATTGGTGTGTTTTGCTTCAATTTAATCTTTATCTTAGAACACTTTGCAGCACAAGAAAAGAAAACATTAAAATCTTTTTAAGGGTAAATTATTTATACAGTCCGACAGTTATTCCTTTTAATAAAATACACTTTGTACAAATGTAAACTTACTTATTATAATAACATTGCTATGATTCCACAGTGCCAAAGATATGCATCACTAATATCGTATGCATAACATAAGCATGTTTTATCATAGTTTCATTTCCAGTAGTCATATGAAAGATTTCTCATTTACTTGCTACTATGAGTATGTGTAAAAAAGACTTAATATTATTAGCCACATATAAATATATATGTAATATCAATAATATCTTTAGGCTACTCATAACAAATACAAAGAGATTGATATTCCTATTATTAAATTTGAATACGTACATTGATGAAACAACTGAAATTAGTGAAATCCTTTTACAGTTTTTACAAGCAGTGCCTGATTACTGCCCAAGCCTTTTATGGACTCCAAAATTACCTTAACAACTTCTCATAATTCTGCTTTCACTACATGAAAAAAAAGCCTGATGTAGACACCACATGGCTTTTCTGTAAGGCTTATTAAATTTTGCAAATTTTTTTTTGCTGCACTTCATTTAAACTTATTTCTTTATTTAAGATATATTTCTTATTCAATTAATTCAGTTCTCACTTTGCAGTAAGGCAAAATATATAAAAACTCAAAACCATTTTCATTAAAAATTGATGAATACAGAAAAACATAAAAGTTAAAACAGTTTAAAAAGACAATTTTTACAATTAAAATTAGAGTTTCTATGCAAAAACAAGCAATTCAGCCAGTGGGCTAGAAGGCAAATTTTTTAGTGCACAAAACTGAGTTTTCTTTTGGTCCCATTCAGCTAAAACACATTGAAGGTGCAGAAACTGACTTAATTCACTATTCTGCTAAGTTTCAACTGTAAATGAATGGATGCTCCATCAGGCTTAGTCACATTTAAACAACTTTTAAATTGTTGATAATTCTACAACTATTGCATGCAGACTAACTAAAGGCATAAAAAAACCTTAACCAGAACATAAGAAGAACATAATTCAATCACTTTTAAAGCAAAAAGTGTACAATCTACCAACATATAAAAATAAAAAAGCTCATCTTGCTGAGTAACAAATAAGGTATATATAGTTATATACTTCTGTTGCGGCCGATTGCAAACAAAAAGGGAGGTGCATAATTACATATTATAGCCATATACAAAATTTACATGTTCTGAGGCTACTCGTTTTTTGAGTTATGCAAGATACATACATTCATACACATGTACAGTGCTAAAAAAAAAAAAAAAGAAAAGGGGGGGGGACAGTTCTGTATCTCCCGCTCTACTGGGCCGATTCACGAATTCAAATTGCGTTCTTCATGTCTCGAAAGCGCGACTAAGGATATATAGTAGATTTATATATAGCTTTACTCTAACAGTGATTTGGACACGAAATCGAACTTTTTCTGAAATAACATACCAATTTTTTTTTCCATATTTTGATTCTAGGACTCAAATTATGCCTAAATATTAAATTTTGTAGGTGCGAAATTTACGGAGAAATTCAACAATTTATGTTGGCGCTTTTTATTCAGTTTGCGCAAAAATTAGTTTACTTGCCGAACTTCTTAATATGTGGCAACCTATATTCATTTCCATTTTTACATAGTGTGTGAGAGGAAAATAAGACCCAATCATTCCTTCCTTCAAATAATGTTCTTTATATTATATTTTTAATTATAATTGTTATTAATTTTAAGCAATTTTTTTCCCTTTCGAATTTCATTTTAATTGTTTAAGTTTCATGGTTTCTTTCGAATAACTGTTTTAAAAATTTCTATTTACTCATTCGAACTGCGTAGTTTAAATCAAAGGTGCATCATTTTTTCTTTTTTTCAAATAGTTTTCTTTATGCTATATTTTTAGTCATAGTTACTATTTTACATAATTTTTTAATTTTTAGACTTTTATTTTAATTGTTAGTGTTGCATTCCCTCTTCAGACAATTATTTTAAAATTTTCTATTTATTCATTCGAACTGAGCATTTTAAATATATTTATTAATGTAAATTTTTCAGAATTTGATTTTATTTATTTGAATTGCGTTTCTTTCAGAAGAATACTTTGTAACGCAGACTACGATGCATTTGAAAACTGCATGTATTAAAAGATAAATTACATTAAAGCACAGTTCACATGCCTTTTAATGTTCTGTTCAACACAATTTTATCCTACATTTGATTTCTTAAAGCGTTATTCATATTTTGGTCAAATATTTTATTTTTGAAATCGCAAGAATCAATATCATAATATAAAAAAGTTTTAAATTAAAAAAATACAAATACTAAATTTATTTTTTCATCTCTTTTTCTTTAGGCATTCTGCTTCATTCTTGCTCTTTTTCTTTAGGCATTCTGCAAGTATATTAAAAAGCATCCAACTTTTCGAAATATCTTAGTATTTCTAACAATCATTTTAAATAAAGTTATTGCCTTCCATTTCATAAAGGCCCACAAACGGCCGAGCAGTAAAGTCGCTGAACACTGGTAGTTCACTCCGGGGTCCGAATCCCGGTAAACGGGCTGGTTGCATGGACGTTTTCATGGATTTTCTCATGTGTAACGTGTATGCCATCTGGTTTCCCTTAGAAAGTTCTTCACGAAGGCATTCCTCCTTTTAGGCAGATAGCCCTGCTTTGCCGTAACTTAATAATCCAATTCAATTCATTTCATCAGTATTTGGTCAGAGCCTTTATCAGTCTTTAGAGGGTAAGCATTTTGAAGGTATGAGATGAAAGGAAAGACTGGTTTCATCAAGAGGTTTTAGTTTATTTAATTATGACAAAGCAAACTAGGGCTATCTGCCTAAGGGGAGAGATGCCTTCGTGGAGGACTTTCTAAGGGAAACTGGCTCGTATACATGTCACACATGGGGAAAGCCATGAAAACGCCCATGCAGCCAGCCCGTTCGCGGGATCTGAACCTCGAACCGTACTACCAGTGTTCAGTGAGTTTAC